AAGACCGCTTGGCTTCTGAGAGAGTATGGAGAGCAGGAGGGTACGCGTTCACCAATCGCGCAGTCTGGTATCGACCGGCACTATTCGGTAGTGCATTAGGGCGTCCATGCAGTGGTAGCGCGTCGACGCGCGTTACAGTGCGTTGCAGTACTTCGTCGCGCGCTCCAGTGCGCCGACGCGCGTCATCGTAAAGCCTGAACAATGCATCAAGTGATTCAGAAGCGCTTGCACAGATAGAAGCCCTACTACAATTCAGGCAGACAACTATTCTTTCTAATAGAGAGCACAAAGGACGTTTAAGACCATAACACACACTTTCATTTAATCTGTACCTTCAGGATAAGCATTCAGCATTCGAGCTCTGACAGGAGAGCTTCTTAAGGCTTCGATTGGTTTACATATTCTACAGCTCATTTTCTTTAGGTTCAGGCGAAATTCTCATCCTCTGTTTCGCAATCGTTTCTTTGCTCTTTCCAGCACTAGACGTCGCCTACCACAAAGAAAGACGCAGAAACGAAGTTCGTAAACTTCCCAGCATGGAAAAGCCTCATGGAAACGAGATTACTGCAAGCGGCAAAATGCGCCAAAATGCCTGCTAGTATTGGACATATCGGTATTTGCATGCAATTATAGAGACATGTAATGCAAATACAGAATTACCATTAAATTTCATTAGCGCTTGCAAATGCAAATGAAGTGATTGACTGACGGGAGTACAGCTAAATCGCAGCAGTACCTGTTCGTATGTCTTCTCATATGTTGTATAAGATCAGGTTGGTCTTCAGAAGGACAAGCTTCACAATTTCGTTTTTCCTGAACAAATCACATTATAGCTGGAAAAACACGTTCTCTATGAACTAGCTCACTTTATTCACGTGTGTTCTCAGGAAGTGATCTTCCATGACCTTGATATCTGGGGCCTGTTCTGGACACAGTTGACACAAAATATATTGTGCAATACCGAGAAGAAGGTTCTGAAAACCATCTTGAGATATGATAAAGGAAAGAAGTTATACATGAGTCTCGTCACCTGCGGTTGTTGCGTGCTCGACCCTTGATCGCTAGGTGAAGGAGAATCCGACGGCACCTCCTGCTTCAGCTCTCTTATAAGAGTGCGCTTCGGTGCGTTATCTAGAAAGTGAGATTGCATGTAGTATAATAACTGATGATGAATGGCGATTAGGAGGATAAAGGAAAAGGCTCAAGACGTGGTAAATCCCCTTACGAAATTCGCCGTTCGTTATTCTGCGAATGACTTTCAGGAAAGTCGACGTGCTAGTCGGGTCAGTAAACGACTTCGTGTAGGTTGAAACACAATTATCAGAAGGGTGTCCTCATCATGCTGAACGGCATAAAAGCTGCCAAGCTGAGCTGTACGAGCGGCAACGGAACCGATGGTGCACTAGCCCGGTAAGCGTGATGTACAGGTTCGAGTCCTGCCTGGTGGCCACGACTTTTGCCCATAACTCAGCACCCTTGCGATAACTCTCGGAACACGATCTGCGGTCTCAAACAGCGACTCATACGTCTGAGTGGTTTCCTACGTCGTTCGACTTTCCAGGCTCTTAGAAAAAT